CCGGGCGCTCCCGGGCCACAGCTCCAGGTAAAGGCTGACCGCGGGAGCCATCCCTCTGGTGTCCTCCGCAGCCCCGGGTGAAGTTTGCCCACTGAGTTCGCAGGGGACAAAGTTTCTCCAGGGTCTCCGAGGACGCAGGGGTCTGCAGAGGCGGCGAGAGGTTGCACCCTGCCGGCTGGGCAGCCGGAGGGATGGGCGCCGCCTCCTGGTCTCTGGGGGATGGCAACAAGTGCATGCATGGCGGTGCGGGGTCTGAGGCGGCAGTTGCGAGCTCACCGGGGAGGAGGCAGCAGCTGCCCCTCACCGTCTCAGGCACCGGTGCGGAGGGTGAGGGAGTTCAACCTCAGCTCTTCGCGAGCGGTGGAAGTCAGTGGCATGCGGGAGGTGGAGAAGGGAGCGCATGAGAGCCAGGGTCCCCCTCTTCCCATCTGTGCTTCTGGCCGAGGTTCAGGCGCTTGGGGGACCCCAGACTGCTGGTCAGTCTCAAGCTCAGGACATTTATTTCTTGTGAAAACGTTTGCTGAGTTTACAAAAGCATCTATGATTATCTTGTTTGGGAGGGGCCTTTAGATTCCGTGGGAATCCATGCACTTGTTTTAAGGGTTTCGCTGGAATACTGGAGTGTGGGTGGTAGGGGTCACGGGCGGAGAAGGCATTCTCCCTTGTTGTGAGCCCTGTGGACACTGGGTGTTCAGACCACCCAGGAAACCCGCTCTGGTTTCCCAGACACCAGTCAGGTTTCTAAGGGAGACTTCTTTAGGAGTCCACAGCGCCCTGTCTATTGGTTACATCTGGGTGGGCCTGGTGGAAGGGCAACATCTGTGTTTGCCAGCTTCTGGCTCCCGACCCCTGCTGGAGTTCCAGTCTCTACACACGCCAAATTGTGGAGATTGACCACTGGTTCTGTACCAAGTAGTCAAGAAATAGTTATAAAGAATGGATCCACTGCTTTTCTGTGTTTTGTCCTCTTCTGTTCCTCAGCCCTGAAGCTGTCTCAGTAAACGAAATCAAAGGCTTACCCTAGTTAGGTTCTATGGGATCTACTTTGGACACGATAATCCAAGCTCTGATAACCTTGCCTGGGAAGGTTTCAGTACCTCTCTCTTGAACTTTTATGTCAATGCTGTTAAACCAAATAGGTGTTTGTCTTATCTCGATGAATAGTTGAGCTAAGTCTATTGGACTGTTTGAAGGAAGAGAATATTGCATAAGCCTTTGGAAGTTGTACTCTGACAGCATCTCAAAGTAATATTCCGATGTGGACTTTATAGGTGATTATGTGTAATTATTTTGACTATAGAACTTGTATAGTACCACACCTGATACTTAGTGGTTAGGGACACTGAGGCACAACTAGTTCTTGGGTATGGGACTTCTGGGAATGTTGTGTCTAATTCGACATGAGACTGGAGAGCAGACAATCAGTGTTTGCCATGCACGTGACTGTTTTCTCTCTTATCAAGGCTGTACAGCCAGGCCAGCGGTGAACAGGTTCTCTAACAGGTGTGTTACGGGACTTCCCTCTGAAGTACTGTCTGCCCTCTAAGCAGTTAAGAAATGTTTAAAGGTACAGAGGAAATCAGTGCGTAATGGAGGGTCTGTGAAATCTCATTACCCTGCTAGGGTTTCACTGCATTTTTTTTTTTTTTAACCATGGGGGTACTTTGGAAAATTCTGAAGTATTTTCTTATTGTGTTCTCAGAAGAAACTATTCTTGTGGCTAAGACTTCTCCTGGAAAGGCATTTCAGATGTGCTTTGATACTTGTGGCTTCCTTTCCTTTAGTATGCCATGTGAGAAAAAAACAAAACAAAAACAAAACCTAAGTGGGTATTAAGTGGCGGGATATACTATTACTTTAAGATTAAGTGTTTTTGTATAAAATTGGTCCTTAGGCTCCAACTGAGTTCTCTCTGAGTTTGAGATCAAGTCTTGATTCCCAAGAAGAAAAATTCGTATTGTAAATGTTGGAAACCCCTTTTCTGACAGTAAATGGTTAGGAGGGTGCTAAATAGCCCAAATTATTCTCAAAATCTGAACTGGCTGTAATTTTATTTTGCTTTAATGTCCTGGGAGATAGGACAGCTCTGGGGTGTGTAGATTTGGTTTCATTGAAATGCTACTTGTCTTACTTTCAGTGGGACAGAGTAGCTCAGAGGTTGTTCCCCTGTGACCTTAGGTGAGATCTGTTATGAAGAGTTGGGTCATTCTGGACAACTTCTACAGAGGGTGCTAAAACAAAAACAGTGGTCTATTTGAAGTGCAGAAACTCAGGAAATTTTGCCATGTTAGAGTTGTACTGGAAACATTATACCACCCGTAGGTTTGGGTCTGAACCTCTTGCTTAGGCAAAGCTGAGCTTAGAGATGTTTTTCTTGCTTACCACGTGCAGATCAGGCATGCATAGGAGAGGTGTTTTTTGTTTGTTTGTTGTTTTTTCCTGGAGCAGATTATAGTCTGTCATTTCATCCAGTCCTTGGTAGCTGGTTCCACTGTTGTTATAATGGCATTGAAAGATGTTGTCAAAACTCAAAACATTGTTGCTTGGATGTTCTGAAAATTTCTACCAGTTCCCTCATGTTCTGTGAAAACTTTCTTCAGTTTTCATTCTCTCAGCAAATTTGAGGGATCGACGTGTGCCTGTTACTGCTCTTTGCCTTCATTCCCTGGGTGGTTGAATTCAGGCACAGAGTCACACTCCTATGGCTCTTGTGTTTTAGGATTCATCCTATTTGCAGGATGGCTTTTTGCTTGCTCCACCATCAAGACATCTGGCTAGGGAAATGAGTCTGTGTGGCAGTACATCTTCTTAATGCACTCCCATTTTCCTCCCGAAATTTGATCTTAGATACAGTTGTAATTTGCTTATTTGAGATGTTATTGCTCCTGGATTTCTTCTCCTGAGTAAGCAAGGTAATGAGATTTGACATCATTTCTTTAATAAGAGGACAAGTGAAAAATAGATAATTGAATGTTTGTTATTTATTCTAGTGATGCTGGTTTTGAATATGCTAATCAAAATACATTTTATTAATCTTTAGAGGTTCAGTCTCTGGTTTCAGTCCACTTAGTAATAATTTGAGGTTTGGTTTTAGTAGAGTTAACATAAAAATGATGTTTCTTGAAGAGCAGAGGGGTGTATGTGTGTTTGTGTGTGTGTGTGTGTGTGTGTGTGTGTGTGTGTGTGTTGTGGGAGAGGCACCAAAGCAGGTAGTAACTGAAGCTTACCCAGAAAAGACCCTTCCAAGCCACCAGGTGAGTCACATCCTATCTCTGGCAAGGGACAAGCTTTTTGTGACCACTGAGCATGGGAAAGCTGTATTCTAGAAATGCTAGCATGCTTTCTACTGCCCATCAAACACGTATCCAGACATTTCCTTAACAGATAGGTAATTGAGGGCTGGCAAGCTGGCTCAGAGGGCAAAGGCTCTTGCTGCTGAGCCAGACAACTTGAGTTTGATCCTCAGAATCCATATGGGTGAAAAGAGAGAACCAAATCCATATGGGTGAAAGTTGTCCTCTGACCTCAACACCTGAGCCAAGGGATAGAAGCACACACAAACAAATACATGTAATAAAAATTTTAAACTCAAATACATGATCAAGAGATTTAAAAAAATATAGTTATTATTATTTTTGTGTGTGCACACATGTGGAGGCCAGCGGGCAGCTTATAGTGATCAATTCTTTCCTTCTACCAGATGAGTTCTTAGAACTGAATTGAGCTCATGAGGTTTGGGAATAAGCACTTTAGCCCACCTAGCCATCTAGTCAGCCCATGGAATATACTTTAAAAACAGTTAGCTTTTAAATTTATTGTACATCATTGGTAATTGTTCCCCTGGTGTTTATGCTTACTCTCTTTTCCTCATTTTATAATTTAATGAATTTGTATGTCATAAAGTCTAATGAGGTGTTTTCAAGTGTGGACTGTGAAGCTACAGTGAGTTAGAAAGACCTACTTTTGTTCTGGCTATGTGACCTCTCTCTACCTCAGGTTTTCCATTTGTTAAAATGGAAAAGACAAGGGCAGGACATAATCCATGGCAATAGAATACCTTGCCCAGCATGCATAAGACCCTGGGTTAAATACCAGTACCCGGTTAAAAAAAAAAAAAGTGAAACCAGGATAACAGTAACTGGCATCATTGGTTGAAGATGAGATAAGTTATGGAGTGACACAGTGGTGGTAATTATGTTGACAACAGATAGAAATGAAGCATTTATAAAGAGTGGTACTGGTTAGAGTGGAGCTCAGTGGTAGATACAACACAAAGCTCAGCATGTGAGGCCTGGCTTTGTTCCCCAGCAGCTGCCTGCATGCCTGGCTTTAGTGGGCTTTCTTTCCAGCAGCAAAGGTGGTGAAATGTCAGTATGATCCAGGGCAAACTGCCCTTGGCTGGGAGTCTAAGGCAGACATAGACCTCTTCATAACTGCTCATCTGTGTTGTGACCTTGGGCAAGTACGAGTCATTTCTGGTCTTTCTTCATCCAGAAAGGATGAGATTCATGGCCCTCTCAGTTGGGACATTCTGTGCAGTGTTGAGGTTTACAGGTAACCAGAGTCTCAGTCTATTCAACTTTTCTGGCTGCAATCCACAAGACTGGGCATGTGTGGTCTCCAGGTGAGCACTTTGGCTGCAGCAGTGGACATAGCCTTTACAGTCAGCACACCGAAAGACTTAGGTTATCTTTCTGGACTTAGTCCCAAGAGATTGCTGACAAGGAAGTCTGGATCCCACGTGCGTGGGTCAGCTGGCTACCTGGTCTCCTTGTGAAATAGTGTGGCACTGAAAAGGAATGGTAATCAAGCTGATTATTTCTTTGATTTCATGCTGCAGATAAATTCTGGGGCAAAAGAAGTCTCATTGAGGACTTCTAAGACATTTTTGCTGGGCTTTGTGGTCCAGGAAAATGAGCCTTGGTTACAGTTGTCTGCCTTCGCCGTAAGCCCTCTGACTTATTGCCTGTGCATTGCCACCTGGTTCTTTGTCTACTGTTCCCCCTTTTCTTGCTCCACCAACTGCA